CGCCGGTCGCCCCGAAGGGGTCCCGGCGACGCGCGCGGGTCGTCCGCTGCGCGGAGCAGAGAGAGCTAGCTGGCTGGCTGATAGCGGGCAAGGCTGTGGCCGCTGGGCAGAGCGACGACGGGGGCGAGCGAGGCGCTGGGCAAAGCGCGGCGCGGAATTCCCGCGACGCTCGAGATCGGCGCGGTGGGCGCATGCGAGCGCAGCCACTGGGGCCCTCGCTGGAGCTCTCTGCGCGGTCACGAACAGTGAAGGGTGTGCCGAAATTGGCGCGGTGCCCGCATGCGAGCGCAGCCACTGGGACCTTCGGTGGAACCCCCTATGGGGCCACGAAACGTGTGAGGGGTGTGCCGAAAGGGTGCGGTGCCCGCATGCGAACGCAGCCACTGGGGCCCTCGGCGGAGCTCCCTGAGGGACCACGAAACGTGTGAGGGGTGTGCCGAAACGGGTGCGGTGCCCGCATGCGAACGCAACCACTGGGGCCTTTGGTGGAGCTCCCTATGGGGCCACGAAACGTGTGAGGGGTGTAACGAAATCGATGCGGTGCCCGCGTGCGAACGCAGCCACTGGGGCCTTCGGCGGAGCTCCGTATGGGGTGAGGGGTGTGCCGAAATCGATGCGGTGCCCGCATGCGAATGCAGCCACTGGGACCTTCGGTGGAGCTCCCAATGGTACCACGAAGCGTGTGAGGGGCGTGCTGACATGGGTGCGGTGCCCGCGTGCGAACGCAGCCACTGGGGCCTTCGGCGGAGCTCCCTAAGGGGCCACGAAACGCGTAAGTGGTGTAACGAAATAGGCGGGGGGCCCGCATGCGAACGCAGCCACACTGGCCTTCGGCGGAGCTCCCTATGGGGCTACGAAGCGTGTGACGGGTGTGCCCAAATAGGTGCGGTGCCCGCATGCGAACGCAGCCACTGGGACCTTCGGTGGAGCTTCCTATGGGGCCACGAAGCGTGTGAGGGGTGTGCCAACATGGGTGCGGTGCCCGCATGCGAACGCAGCCGCTGGGGCCTTCGGCGGAGCTCCCTATGGGGCCACGAAGCGTGTGAAGGGTGTGCCGACATGTGTGCGGTGCCCGCATGCGAACGCAGCCTCTGGGACCTTCGGTGGAGCTCCCTGCGGGACCACGAAACGTGTGAGGGGTGTGCCGAAACGGGTGCGGTGCCCGCATGCGAACGCAACCACTGGGGCCTTTGGTGGAGCTCCCTATGGGGCCACGAAACGTGTGAGGGGTGTAACGAAATCGATGCGGTGCCCGCATGCGAACGCAGCCACTGGGGCCTTCGGCGGAGCTCCGTATGGGGCCACGAAACGTGTGAGGGGTGTCCCGAAATCGATGCGGTGCCCGCATGCGAATGCAGCCACTGGGACCTTCGGTGGAGCTCCCTACGGGGCCACGAAACGTGTGAGGGGTGTGCTGACATGGGTGCGGTGCCCGCGTGCGAACGCAGCCACTGGGGCCTTCGGCGGAGCCCCCTGAGGGGCCACGAAACGTGTGAGGGGTGTAACGAAATAGGCGGGGTGCCCGCATGCGAACGCAGCCACAATGGCCTTCGGCGGAGCTCCCTATGGGGCCACGAAACGTGTGAGGAGTGTGCCCAAATAGGTGCGGTGCCCGCATGCGAACGCAGCCTCTGGGACCTTCGGTGGAGCTCCCTGGGGGGCCACGAAACGTGTGAGGGGTGTGCCAACATGGGTGCGGTGCCCGCATGCGAACGCAGCCACTGGGGCCTTCGGCGGAACTCCCTATGGGGCCACGAAGCGTGTGAGGGGTGTGCCAAAATATGTGCGGTGCCCGCATGCGAACGCAGCCACTGGGGCCTTCGGCGGAGCTCCCTGCGGGACCACGAAACGTGTGAGGGGTGTGCCGAAACGGGTGCGGTGCCCGCATGCGAACGCAGCCACTGGGGCCTTCGGTGGAGCTCCCTATGGGGCCACGAAACGTGTGAGCGGTGTGCTGAAATCGATGCGGTGCCCGCATGTGAACGCAGCCACTGGGGCCTTCGGCGGAGCTCCCTATTGGGCCACGAAACGTGTGAGGGGTGTGCTGACATGGGTGCGGTGCCCGCATGCGAACGCAGCCATTCGGGCCCTCGGCGGAGCTCCCTAAGGGGCCACGAAACGTGTGAGGGGTGTGCCGAAGTGGGTGCGGTGCCCGCATGCGAACGCAGCCACTGGGACCTTCGGTGGAGCTCCCTATGGGGCCACGAAACGTGTAAGGGGTCGTATGATGATGATGACTGTGATGCTGATGATCATGATGATGATGGTGATAATCATGATGCTGCTGATAATGATGATGATGACGATGATGATGTGATGATGGTGATGGTGATGGTGATGATGATGGTGATGGTGATGATGCTGATGATGGTGATGATGGTGGGAGGAGGGAGGAGGGGAGGGAGGAGGGGAGGGAGGAGGAGGAAAGAGAGGAGAGGAACGCGGGGTACCGTCTCTTCAAAACGAGGGCCCAACACCGCAGGATGGTTGGGAAAAATGGAACTGTGGATATACGCACAGTGATGGCAATAGGGTCTTCTAGATAATCCCGAACATTCAGATAAGAAATGTGTTATCCTAGGTCTGCGACCCAGGGTTTTGTAGGATAACCCCAAACCTGCTTGGGAGAGAGTGCCACCAGCGTGTCGGTCGAGCCGCGAGGGAAAGGGAGGAGAGGTATATTGTATATCAGTAGTGGGCCATGGTGAAGCTGACTGCTTGTGAACGCGCCTGTATCTACCAAATCAAATGAGGTCCATCTGCGGTAATTTGACAGGAGTAGGTACTGGTCGCGAATGTCGCGGTACTTTGTAGTATGCTGCCCAGTACTGGTTGTGGTGACAACACGTCATAACGTTCACGTAGACTGGTCCAAATTGGAGGTCGTCGGTTTGGGTTTGGGAACAGCCTTGTGTAGCGTTACTGCATGATTGGGCGGCGGCTCCCTGAAGGGTGCTCCAGGCATGTGTTCGTGAAGGGTATAGGGGTAGTTCTCGTACCGGGCCTGATACGTACGAAGCCTGGCGATGTAGTCTTGGAACGTGGGGTCTCCATCCTTGTTGAGGAAGATGGTGCGTCGGTTGAAGATGTGGATATGGTGTTCTCCCCGACTTGCTGCTTCGTGGTGTGTGGCGATTGCTTGCGCTGCAATGCTCGGGAAGTAAGTGTGTCGCGTTGCCAGCGTTTGTGGAGCCAGCTGTCGCCAAGGTATAGATTGTCTCCATTGTTGGGCTTTGATATCCTCGTCTGGAGGGTAAATGATGCATATGTTTTAATGCGGGTGGTGGTGGGTGTACCGGTATGAATATGTGGGATGGTGACCATTTGATCATGGCAGTGACTGTGGGCGGGGTTGTAGTTGGTGATACTGTTGCGCTGTTGTTTTTGGGCGTGGTCGGTGGCTATTGTGCTGTCTGGTCAGCTTGGTCAATCAGGTGTACTGGTGTTGGTTTGTAGGGTCTCTGGTGCGTCGTCGTTGTGGCGGTTGTGGTAGTTCTGCTGACGTGATTATTCGGCATAGGTTTGCTTGGGATCGTGTTCTGTGGCAGCTGTTTGTAGGAGTGCATGGTGATCTGTTTTGTGATTATTGGTGGAGTCGGTCCGCTTGGTGTGTTAAACGGTTGTGCAGGTTGCGGCTCTGCTGTTTTTCTGTGTGCAATTTCGGTTCGCTTAGTCGGACTCGCTGGGCTGTTGGGTATGTCCCATGAGGGTGGTAGTGTGGGTGCGAATGGCTTAGGCCTGCTGGGCTGTGATGATGGTGGTGGTGGTTTGGTTGGTAGCGGCTGTGTCTGTTGCTGGGCGTCAGCGTTGACCTCCCTGTCGGTGGAGCTGCCGCTGTCGTCATGCTTGTTGGTGGTGTAGCGCCTTGTACTGGTTGGGGTGCAGATCCGCTGTAACAGGTTGGCTGCCTCGCGGAAACACACCGCCCAGCTGCACTTCAGGATGTCGTGCTCGTCGTGGCATGTATGGAGCCATTGGGCAGCATCTTGTATGGCGGCGATCTTGACGTTGCCGGGCGGTGCTTGTCCTCCTGCGATCAGCGCGATGAGGTGGTTGTAGGTCGTGACGACTTGTACCCGTAGTGTTAGGCTGTCTCGGTAACTAGCTGCAAATTCCTTGCCGTAAAGGTAGGGTGCTGTGGCGGTTTGTGCATCGGCTGGTCTGTTTGAATGGCGTCTTTTATCTTGAGCCTTGTTGTGCTTGTTATCAGTGAGAGTGTTAAGGTCGATAGTGGAGTGGTCTTGGAGTCAGGTCGGAGTGGTAGGTGCAGTGAGCATTGCTTGTCGCCTTGGTGGACACACATCTCGTTGTTGTACTTGTTGAGGTATCTGTGCCATACAGGTAGTAGTAAGTCGTCGTTCGAGAATCGAGAGGCGTATGTGTTGGTTGCTTCGTGGTACTATACTGCGTGGTTCCAATGGTATTCTTCTTGGCAGTATGTGTACGCGTCGTTGGCGTATTGGCAGTATGCGGTCCAACCATCGGGAAGGTGCATGTCGTGGTACCTTCTAGGTTTGGGCGATTATAGACATACTTAGTGGAACTCGGATGCTCTGCTCATATTTGCCCACGGGTCGTGCCTGTCGCTGTTGTCATCTGATTCGGAAATACCGTAGCACAGCTTGGAGCAGCCTTGCCAATGGTCGTGTTCTTCGTCTTGGTTAGTCTGGGCCGGTAATGTCGGCATCTTTGCTGGCCCAGGTGTCCTCCTGCTCCTCCTCCTCCTCTCCTCCTCTCGTCCTCCTCCCTCTCTCCATCCTCCTCCTCCTCCTCCTCCTCCTCCTCCTCCTCCTCCTCCTCCTCCTCCTCCTCCTCCTCCTCCTCCTCTACCTCCTCTCCTCCTCCTCCTCCTCCTCCTCCTCCTCCTCCTCCTCCTCTACCTCCTCTACCTCCTCCTCCTCCTCCTCCTCCTCCTCCTCTACCTCCTCTACCTCCTCCTCCTCCTCCTCCTCCTCCTGCTCTGCCTCCTCATGCCTCTCCTCCCCCCATTCCCCGACGTCCTTCGCGTCGGGCGCCTCGTTGATGAACACGATGCTGGAGGCCGCCTCAGGGGAGGTATAGACGGGGTGCAGATGATGAGGCGGCGGCGGAGCTCTCGGGGTCTCGCAGGGCAATCTTGCCCAAGGGGGGAAAGGAGCTTGATGAGGACGCGAGCTGTGATGCTGGAAATGAACAGGAGAAGGAGGAAGAAAATGAGGAGGAGGAGCAAGGGAAGGAGAAGAAAGCAGAAGAAGACGGTGACGAAGAAGTGGAGGAGGGGGTCGAAGCTCGGAACTCGGGGATCCGCGAAAGGGCTCCAGCGGGGCGCCGTTGCTGGGGGCGTGGAGCATTCAAGGTAGGCACATGATAACTCTGATGATTATGCGCAGGAGCAGAGTGATAGAGAGAGAGAGAGTGAATGAGCGGGAGGAGGAGGAGGAAGAGGAGGACGAGTAGGAGGAGGAGGCAAGCGCACCACGAAAATCCCGAGTCCCGCCGTATCTGCCATCCCCATTCTGGGCCTCGTTGAGTCGTAGGTCGCGCAGGGCGGCGCGAGCAGCCGTCTCGTTCATGGCAGGGCGCGTCTGCTCAGAGGGGGGGAGACGGCAGAGATGGAGGAGGAGGAGAATGGCGCCTTCTTCCCGTTGAACGGGTTCAGCCTCTTCGGCGGAAGCTTAGGCAAACCCTTCAGCGGCGGTTTCTTTCCCATGGCCCGTCTCTTCATGTCCGACACGTCCTGTATGGCGGAAGAGGAGGGCGGGACGAAGAGGAGAGGGCGCAAGAAGAGCAGGGCCAGGAAAGGAGGGAGAAGGAGGGGGAGGGAGAAGACGGATGAGAGAGGAGGGCAACGCTGACGACGAAAACAAATACAGGAAAGAGAAGTATACATATGCAAGGACCCTAGTCTGTACCATCCTGGACCTGGTCAGGGCGGTGTATGTGCAGATTTCTCGTCGCCCGAAACACAAGGGAGGTACGAACGTGAGTGACTAGAGTAGGTTTGTTTTACTCGTGTCCTGATGTTTATCTAGGCTCTGTACCTCCGCAGCTTGCTAGTGTACACACGTGCGTGTTGTTCCACAGCCACTATTTGATCAGACTGGGGCGCCGCCCCAGGGATCACGCAGGCGCCCTCGATCGCCAGCAGCAGGCAGAGAAAGAGATAGTCCAGCTCAACTCCACTCGCGGTGGGATTCGCAGTGGCTTGAGCCAGAAGAGCGAGTGTGAGGAGTAGTGGTCGATCAGGAGATCACCACAATGTCGGACGGAGACGGCTTCAACCAGAAGCGGTTCAGTGGAGACGGCAACGACGGCGCGGCGGCCTACAAGGCGTGGAAACGGTGGGCGAAGGCGGCGATCGTGGTGCCAAAGGCGAAGAACATCCCAGCGAAGGCGATCGGCCCGTGGCTGTATACGCTGCTGGACGGGCAAGCGGCGCTGGCGGTGGCGAACGTGGACTTGGCGGAGACCGATGTCGATTCTGGCGAGGGGGTGGTGTTGGGGCGCCTCGACGAGAGATTCCCGGACAAGGTCGCAACAGACCATCTCGGAGAGGCGATGGAAGAGGGCTTCCGCTTGCGCATCCAGAAGCAGGAGACGACGGAAGCATACTCCGGGCGGGCCCAGCTGGTGTACGCGATGCTGGCCAAGGAGGGCGCGGCCCTTCCGCCCGTGGCGCGCGGCTACCTGATCCTTCGAGGGGCTCGGCTGGGCAGCTTCGGCAGGGCTACGATCATGTCGGCGACGCACAGCAGCTGGCATGTGGATGAGGAGTGCACGGCGCTGAGGACGGCCTTCCCAGGGGTGCCCCTGGAGAGGCTCGCGCAGGAGGCGTACGCAGTAGAGAACGAGTGCGGCGAGAGCGAGATCCCGCCTCCGCCTGAGCTCTACCAGGATGAGGGCGCCGAGGACGACATCACCCAGGAGATCGACGCGATCGTCCAGGCGGCGGAGCCGATAGAGGAGTCAGATGCAGTGGAGATTCTGGCGACATGGAAGCAGACGCGCATGGCCATGAACAAGGAACGGTTAGATCGGGGCCTGAGGCCTGGGTGGAAGCCACGACAGGCAGGTGCAGGCGGTCCTACACGGCAGGATCTCGACAAGTTGGGGCGCGGGATGAAGTGCTTCAGGTGCAAGAAGATAGGCCATTTCAGCAAGGACTGTACGGAGCCCCAACGGGCTCACAGTACACAGATGGTGATCGCCGAGTTCGTGGAGACCGATCGTGGGGAGGTGCTGGTCCAGGCTGTCCAGGGTACGTCGTTGCCCGCCGTCGGAGACCCGTGCGAGCAGGCCCATGTCGCGGCAGAGCTCGCCTTGAACGACGAGATCAATAGCATCCTGCAGGTCCACGAGGAGAACGTCTTGGCGAGGCTCATCAAGGAAGAACGGTGGACGAGGCTGGAACACGAGATGAAGGAGAACTCCGAGGAAGAGGACGAGGCGTCCGAGACAAAGGCCGCGGTGGAAGGCAAAGTCCTCGGAGTCACCCACTCGGACGGATGCTCAGTGCCAGACGCTGGGTGCTGCAAGTCCCTGATTGGTGCAGAGACGCCAGTGAAGCATGAGGCGGCGACTGGACAGAAGGCACGATGGCTGAAAGACGTGAAGCAGATGCGGTTCCGAGGCTTCGACAACAGCGTGCAGGAGTCCATTGGCGCGGTCGAGCTCGACTGGACGGTAAAGGGGTACACGGTGACGTTCGTGGTGTACGTGGTGCCTGGGTCGGCGGGTTTCCTGATGAGTAAGCAGTAAGCCCGATTTCAAGGCTTGAGGTGCGAAGATCGACCTCGAGACGGACTCCATGTACCTGAAGCAGCTCGACCTGACCATCCCGCTGAATGAGATGGCAGCCGGCCACTACGAGATCGACTTCTTGGATCGGGAGAAGAGGACCCGCCGGCAGATCCACACGTCGTCGGTGCGCGGGCAGAGCGTGGCGGAGAAGGAAGCTACCAAGCACACGCCAATTTGTCAGTAGGACTGGGTCGGAGCTTACAGGCCGGGAGGATGGTGACGGAGATGTTATCCCCACCGCGGATCGTACCAGTTGCGGTGAAAGCAGGATTCAAGGAAGGCAAGAGTCTCGACACTGTGAGCGGCTGGGGTGTGAAGAAGGTCGACGAATACGACGCTATGTGGAGGCACAGCATCGAGGACGAGCCGTACTGGGTGCACATGTGTCCACCGTGTCGGAAGCTGTCTGTCTTACAGCAATGCACGCCGCTGGAGCGTCGGGTGGACATGGAGCAGCACCTCGCGGAAGTGAAGTGGACGCTGAGCCTGGTGTACGTAGTCGTGGAGGTGGCGATCTACCAGCTTGAGCGGGGCCCCGGGGCAGGCACTTTCTGTACGAGACACCGCCCAGGTGTACAAGTCTGCAGGTGCCGGTGATGAAGCAGATGCTGCAGCTGAGAGGGGTGTACGTGGGTGTCGCGAAGGGCTGCGAGTTCGGACTGCGGTGCCCGGACACGCTTGAGCTGATGCCCAAGAGCTGGGAGTTCGTGACGTCGGCGCAGGTGGCGAGAGCGGTGCATGAGGTGCAGCGGAGGACATGAGCATCAGCACACCGAAGACATGCTGAAGTGCGTGGTCGTGTAGCCAGCGCTATCCTCGGAGACTGGTGGAGGCGACCGTCCGAAAAATGCGGTGCCAGTGCCAGGTGGAGCCTGAGGAGATTGAGGAGGACGCGGACGGGACGCGGGATGTCTTACGTCGGCCTCATGGTTCAATCCAGAACAGCCTCTGGAAGTTGCACGTGCAGCTCAGGCACTGCCGAAACAATGTGCTGGTGCGACATCTCAGGCACGCGCATGCGACGGAGCAGGCAATCAAGGTAGCGTACGAGTTCCATTGCCCGGAATGTGAAGGGATGAAGAGTCCGAAGGTCGCTCGACGCAGCACTCCGGCCGAGGCTCATCTACCGTTGACATACGTGAGCACGGACTGAAAGGACATGCCGAGCTGGAACCTCGGGGAGCGGATCACGTGCCTGGGCATCATAGACGAGACAAGCTGCCTGCACCAGGTGGAACCGATGATCGGCATGCCAGAGACCTCGAAGAACCTCACGGACACGTTCAGCCAGACGTGAGTTGGCCCATATATGAGACCGAAGCGGCTGAAGGTGGACCCGCAATGGGCTCAGGTGAGCGACGAATTCACCAACTGGTGCGAGCGCCAGGGGATCGAGGTGGTGGATACTGCAGGAGGCGCGAAGGAGCAGAATGGCAAGATAGAGCCCCAGAACCAGCTGTTCGAGATGATGTTGGAGGACGTCATGCGAGAGGCGCAGCCCCAGACGGAGACCGAATGGCGCGAGTGCGTGATGGAACTGGTCCTAGTCAAAAACAGCCTCCTCTCAGTGACCAGGACGTCACCGACGCAGATAGTGTTTGGCCGCAACCCAGAGGTGCCAGGCGACCTGCTGAAAGACGACCCAGACACGATCACCAACATGGCGGTAGTGAACGATCCAGTGGCAGTCCAGCAGGCGCAGACAGGACGATCGCCCGCATGAAAGTGCTCCTGCAACAGGACAAGCTGACGACGAGACGGGCACTGGACTCTCGGCCGAGAATCGTGGCCACGTACCAGCTGGGCGATATGGTGGCGGTGTGGCACATGATGAGGAACAAGGTCATCCCAGATAAGCGGGCTCATCACCGATGGAGGCCAGGAATCTGCATGGGCGAGGTGCGCGGCAACTGCTGGATGGCGCTGCCGAGAGCAATGGTGAAGGCGTCGCCGGAGCAGATGAGGCCAGCGGTGAGAAAGGAACGTCATGGAGGCGGAGCTGAGGACCAAGTTGGTGGAGAAGCTGGGGGAGAAGATCTGGTGGGTGCGCTTCGTGGTGCCTCTGGGTGGGCGTCGTACGGGTCTTCTTCCGTGGTCTCGTCTTGGATTGGGGGCGGGAGTGCACAACCCCTCCGGGGCGAATCGACGGCGGGGGCGGTTGGGTCCTCGGGCCTTTCCCCTGCCTCGCGCTCCGAGAGGGCAGGCGGCTGCGCCTCTGGCCCCGGCGAGTCGCACAGGGCGCCTTCGGACACGCGTCGTCGGATGGAGCTCCTACAGGGCCCTCAGAACACGGACCGGCCGACCAGGTGTCAGAGACGATTGGTGCGCATCAGGAGATGGAAGACGGTTCAGAAGGCGAGGAAGTCTCGAGCGAAACGGTGTCGTGCTTTCTATCGCTTGTCTCTGTTGAGGAAGTCTCGAGCGAAACGCGTGCGTTAAGGCTCGGAGGAGATCTTCCTCCGGGGAGGAACCTGGAACACGCGCAAACTTGGATCGAGTCGTGGGTATGAGCCATCGCAACTCAAGCTTGAGTGCTTTTTGCAACTGATGGAAGCTCGTAGGTGGGAGTTTGGCATGTTCACGGACGTCAATTTTTATCAGAATGGCGTCCGGGAGTATGATGTTGGGACAGAGGTATGGACATTTGTCATTCGGGGCAAAGTGTGTGGTGCTGAATCAACGCCTCACGGCATTATGGAGGGAGGGAGGATCGAGGGTAGTCGTTAGGGGGAAGTGGGATAGGAAGGGGGTGCGGGTCATGGGGGTTGTGTTGCCCCGGGAGGGCCAACGTCGTGGACTTTCCTTGGTTGCTTGTTACGCCCCCGTCTCGGGCACCGCCAATGAGGAAACCAGAGACGCCTTCAACGAGGAATTGCGGCACGTGGAATCACGTGTGCGAGCGCACGACAATTTACTCATCGTTGGAGCTAGGAGCCA